TGATAATCTTTGCTCCTCTTCAGCCTCTCTCATTTCGGTCCTCACCGTGTGCCTCTGTGCTGGAGAATGTTTTTGTTTTTTTATAGTAGATGAGGAAGATGTTTTGGAGCTAGATTTGTTCCTTGAAACAGCAGCTGTCCCTTCCTCCTCCCAGTCAGCTGTGATGAAAGGCCTAAAGTTTGTGTTCATAGCAGATGTTTGGTCATGACTCCCGGCATTACCTTCTCTCACCTCCAGGTCAGAGATAGAGTCAAGTCCAGATTCTTTCACAAAATCCAGCAAGATTTCCTTCACCCACCCTGGAAGCACCAGAAGATCCAGGATGTGCCTGTCCTCCCTCTTCTCAACCAGAGTTTTGAAAGCTCGACGTGACTCTATAGACTCACTAGGAACTCTGTCCCCAGTCTCAGAGTGACGAGTTCCTTCATATCGTTCCACCAGTTCTGTAATGAGGGAGTAGGCCTGTACTACTGGCTCAGCCAGACCTGATATGAGTAGATTTCCTGGTGAGGCAACCTGTTTGGGTGAGAACAGGATCAAAACAATCATAATAGAAAACACTGTACTGACAGCAGGAAGTACCAGCAGGACTTTATGTTCACATGTGTTTTGCTAGCTTTCAGCTAGAGACTAGCATTTTGCACAGAGATATAACAAAGGAATGAAAAGTTAACTCTATGTCAGTGGCATTTGCATTTAAGCTTATTTACAGTATTTTAAGGTCTTTATCTGACCAACTGATCTCAACTTTACATTAAATCCTTTAGTATTAAAGTAAAATAACCAGACGTATGTTGCTAAAAATAGGGTCAAAAATGTGTAATACATACGTAGTAGAAAATATAGGCTATGGCTTGGGTTGTCTGTTAGATGAATACTATTGGTAATAATATTGAAAAAAGGTCTCTATATCTCTAAGGACTGATATTGTATCTTTACCCTTTGTTCAACATTTGTAAATAAAGTATGGAATTTCCTGACTATATGTAGAAAAACGTGGCAAGTAATATAAAAAGGAAGTTGCTACACACAGTAAAATGTTCCTCATTTCATATAATTATATTTAGCCAAAACCTACACCACCACCTAAAAAATCCCTATGAATCTATATGATGAAACAGTTCTGATATTGACTCATAATGTAACTTCTGGTAAGAAGAACTTAAGTGTAATCACAGAACTTTTCTGTAGTAGTAGTTATTATTGGTATTACATCAATGCTACAAGAAAAATACAAAGAACAAGGACAGAAGTGAGCAGAATCTCATTAGAACTGAGAAATGTTAATAATATCACTCACCATGACATGAGCTGAAGTGGTTTTGATCAGACAGTCCATGAACAGCCCTTTGGCTCCACAAAAAATACAGTGAAGGACCTTAGGATAGGAAACCTGCTGCTGAGCTTCCTGGTTCACAATTCCCTTTACAAACAACTAGAGGAAGAACAATAATCACTTGTCAACCCATTTTTGAGTCAGGGAATCTGTGGTTGGTTTCTGTTAGACAAATAAAATATCAAATAACATATGACATTGGACAAAGTCATGTTAAGGCCCTGGAAAACCAAGATAAACATTAAAAATATTAATAAAAGCCCAGACCCTGAATGTATGCCTTTATAAACAATTAGCCCAGAGACGACAAAAACAACAATAGATTTGTTAGCCAGAAGAGCTAAAAATTAACTGATGTGATAATTATAACTGATTCAGAAAGAGCAAAAATTACAAATATTCTGAAGCAAATGTAGCTTTAAAAGAGAGAGAGATAACATTCTAAAGGAGAGGCTTACTTGACCAAAATAGGACCTGTAGTTTCATGACATCATATAGGGTACATGTACATTTGTATTGACAGCACAATGATGCGATACACATCCATATGCTGAAACTAATCAAAAAGATAAAAAAGGTTAAAAAATAAGTAGCCAATCGATCATTATGATCCAACGATGCCTATTGCATGCTGAAAGAGTTTCGGTTTTGCTCATGTCTGAAGCTGGGTCGTTCAGCTTTAGGTCACATAGTTTCACTTGAGAGAAAACACAAGTCTGCTGTATATGGATGAGTCACTGCACTTACATGATGATATGCAAGCTGTACATCAGCAAAAACAACACCTCACCCTTTACTGCTAAATGACTTGTGTAATAGGATAGCTAAAAACAAAACTCAACATACCACTGTCATCTTGCTCAACCAACAAATCTGGGTCAAACACATTTGTCTAAAGGAGGCCAACTATGGTTTAAAGGTACAGCTTGTAGGGGCCCCACTTTCTGCATATCAGATGTGGACCACTTAATACAGTATGTCCTTTGAACTAGCAAGGTACTGCAAAACAAATGTCTCTTACTTTGGCAGCCTCCACGTTTTTGCTCGTCCCACATAGCTTGAGCCAAATCTGCCCATTGTTGCCCTGGGGTAAGTCGTCTGCCCCGATACCGAAGGTCACTTGGAATATCCGTTCCACGGCATCGTGCAGGGAGGTCAAAGACCCTCGTAGCATCCCGGCACAGGCAAACTCATCCTCCACCTCAGCTTCCCCATTACGTCTCTGATTGTCCATTTCTTTGTTTCTAGATCACTAGCAGAGTATGTACCATACTGCAAAAATACATCGGATTATATTGATTGGTCACCAAAATAATTAAAAAAATATTTTACTAATATATTATAAATAATCTACCAAAACGTTTCAAAATATGAAACAATCACATATGCAGTATGTTTATAAAACAGTGTGCAGTTATTGATTATGAACGATGATTTTTGCTAAAACTCAAATTATATACCATACCAACCAAGGGATACTAGGTTCCAGTCAAAAGGTGGGACAGAGATTATGTTTGTGCCGGACAAGGCAGGACACAGCATTAGGACACAAAGTTGTACCGCATTTTGATTTGACTTTACAGTAGTTTGTGAGTGTCTCCCCTGGAGTAAAGTGACCAGTCGTCCCATTTTGAGCAGGATTGCAACAAACAAACACAATGAGCAGGAACTGATGAAAAAACAAAGACTGACTGTGCATCGGCTGCACAGCATCCAAAAAGAACAGAACACCCTGCAACCACATTGACTGCACAGATAACAGTGCCATAATAGATAGCACCACTATCACCAAAAACAAACAAACAAACAAACAAACAAAACAACAAAAAACAATCCAATTAGCTGTGCCGTTTTCTAATGTCATATTGATGGAAAACAAGTCCAGTACCAAACCCAAAGAACTACTTTTTTTATTACGCTGCACAGTGCCTGTCGGGATTGGCCTTATAATTTTGGTTTGCAGGTTCAACTCCCACCTGGCTGACTGTGGTGTACTGAGCAAGCACAAAATCCCCGTATGTGCTTCTAAAAGTGCCCACTGCTTCATGGGTGCGGCATGGGTTAATAAAAGACACAAAATTTGCTGTAAGTGTATATTGGTCTGTTTATGTTTAAGACTTGTTTTTCTTCTTGTTTTTTTAAGAGTTGTTCTTCACAGACCTTATCCAATAACACCAACTAACGCTGCACTTTTTTCGTGGGAGAGGGGTCGCTGGATTATGATCAAGTCACGATGAGTGACGTCACATAGTGTCCAAACAGACTTTGGAAATTCTCACTTATAGGAATAGCGAGCAACGCCTGTAGTTGTTGGACGACTACAAACGTCCAATTTATGTGCAGTATATACGTGGAAGTATAACACAAGTAGTCGCGGTTTAAAAGTTAAAATGAATCGGAAAGAATCGTTCAGGAGAGTTTTGACGCAGTTGTCAACAGAATTGTTGAGTATGTCCGAAGAAGAGGAACAGGACATAGTGACGATCCATTTTTCTGGATAAGAAGTTAGAAGAGTCTTTGACAGGATACAATTCGTTTTATATTTAAGTCACATTTCTTACGTGGAGTGATGATCTTTTCCTGGACACGGAAAAGTCCTCCGCTCTTTAAATCTCACGAAGCAACATGTCAAAATCCGGGAGGGCGAAGACAAAGTGGATCAGCAGGGTAACTGGCGGACCTGGAGGAGACTGTTAGTTGGCAGGACAAGGAAGAAACCCAGAGCAACGGAAGGACAAATGGACAGGAAAACGAGACCGAACCGAAACCAAGCTGCGCATCTCTGCGCATTTCTGCGCAATTTGTGCGCACATCAGGGAGGTTCTTATCCAGTCTTCTTTTCCTGGTGCAGTTGAGGAGCAAAGGTCTCCAGATGGAGGTTCAATAACAACAACAATAAACTGCTGTCAACATGCTGTCACAGACACGAAACATATAAACCGAAATACAAAACACGTTTTTATTTCATAATTTCGAATGTACCTAACGTAATATGTTATTATACGTTATATTATATATGTTGTTTTTTAACTTATTTCTTAATTATTTTAGTGGACGTGTTTGCGATTTCAATATATTTAATTACTTTGTTTTGTAAAATGGCAGACGAAGGGGAATTTCCAGTGACGTCACAAACGGGCTTTTCCCTCTTGACTCAGTCACAAGCTTCCTTAAAAAACCTCATACTTTAGTCTCATATATACAGCAGACACAGGTCATTGTCTTTTAAACATTTACTAATAAATATAATGTTTTATTCTACTACACTCTGGTGTTGTGCATTCTTTTGAATAGCATAAATTGAAGGACATTTTGTTTGTCTCACTTCTAGCTAACTAAGCTAAACAGCTTCTCACTTGCTATGATGTTTGAAGTTGTACTAATTAGACTGTTCAATCTATGGCAAATATTGTTATTACGCTTTTGGCTAACTTCTAGCTTTTTTAAAATACCTTTTTAGCTTTCCAGAGTCTTTAGGTTATGTTTTACAGTTAATTTTGTTAACTAACTATAATTTAGGATTGCAGTTATATTTAAGTTAAGTTGGGCTTAAGTTTGTATTTTTATGGCTAATTAATGTACAATTTTGATCCAGCTATAGGCTATTTCTTTGGTATATTTTCTGCTAGGATTCAGATTGATCTATGTTAACTTTTAGTTTTAGGATTACTGTTTATATCAGGGTGTCCACACTTTTTTCCTATTGGGAGCTACTTTTCAAATGACCAGAGTAAACTGATCTATCTACATTGAAAACTCTAAATATATATTTACTAATATAAACTGAATATCTTATTATATACATTATATGTTGGGGTACTTTCATTAAATCGCTGGAGTTGTATGGCACAATACTGTCTGACTCAATACTTCTATGGTCCTTACTTTAGCCCTATTGATTAGTATCTTAAAGTATAATTCAATTTATAATTTTAATTATTATTTTTTAAAATGTAATTGCTCTTGATCTACCAGCACTCCCTTTGAGATCTACTGGTAGATCCAGATCTACTTATTGGGCACCCCTGGTTTATATTAAATATGTTCTTAGCTTTTGTTGGCTATCCTCAATTATTTTTATATTTTTAGTTATTGACATTTAAGGATTTATTTTCCTAATGCATTTTTCCATTTTATAACTATTTCCGCAATGCTTAGCACTGTACTAATTTTAAGCTAGCCTTGTTACGTATTTTGCAAATTTTGGCCAAACTTATGCTTACTCTGGGCTATCTCTCAGTAATTTTCACTCACACAGGGCCGTCGCAGTGGGGGTGCAAGGTCCAGGGGGGACTTGAAATGCGAGGCCCTGGTCTTTGACATGGGCAATTGCGCATGAATAACAGTCACATGAACACAGCTATTCTAGTTCTACTGCTTTTACAGCTAAATGCAATATGTTTTTATCAACTAGAGAATACAGCATAATCATGCACATGACAGTCTCAGCTATAACTTTTTACTATTTTTTTCAAAGGGCACAATCAACTGTGCAATGAGTGGCTTTCCATCAGGTCAACTCAGTCACTTCATTCTTGGCCTCTTGACATTTACAAAATGTAGGTGAGAACACTTTCATTCATTATGTACATTCATCTTGGTCATTTTCATTATGCAACTCACACTGAAAAAAAAAGTTTTTTCTCACCACTGTTGCCCATTGTGGTTTTTTTCTACTGGGATCTGTTTCTCTCTTTAAATAAAACTGAATTGAATATAACTCTGAGATGGTGAGAGGCTCTCACCATGCATAAATTGTGCTAAAACAGATAACGTCGGAGTCATTTCCCATGTCTTATCTAATATCTTTTTACTCTAGTTTGGATGCAATGTCCTTTTCAGTGGATAACATGTGACATGGAGGTGTGCAAAAGTTTTTAAGTAGTTTTAATTTGAAAAGCTTTGCTCGCCACCATTACTAGAATAAGATAAAACTATCCTGAGCCACAGTTATGGAAAGTTCATTCGATCCCTTCGAGGTAAATGTTTTTATTGTTGTTTCCTTTGGGATTATATCTCATAGTACCCTCAATTCCTGGAAGAGGTCTGGCACATTTAAATCTTGCGACTTGGACTTGCTCAGAGCATCACTCAGTCTGTGCACTGTCTTAATTTGTTAGATTTAGATTTTTTGTTAAAAAATGTTTGTATGTGACCTTGATACAGGCATGTCACTGATACAAAATCATAAATAACTATTATTAATACTAATTTATTGAAAAAACAAAACAGAAGGATTGCAGGCACGAGGTCCCCTACTGGTGCAAAGTCCCGGGGCAGCTGCACAGTTCGCACAGCCTATGTCTTTAAAGGGAAAAATCCTCAGATGTATTTAACCTTAATAAAAGTTTTGGTCCAAACAGCGTTTTGTCTGTGTTATGACGGAGGTTTACACAACGAACACCTGTTGTGCACATTGAAGACGGCAATCACTGAAATTGTCAGTAATTTTGCAGATGACTTCCCTGTAGTGGACAAATTAGAATATTTGTATTTGAAATTCCAAAATGGAAAGTATGCAATGTAAAATGTGTAAGACAGTTTGTCTAAATCAGTGGTTCTCAAACTCTGGTACATGTACCACAAGTGGTATGCAAGTGCTCTCTAGTGGTACGTGGGGAAAATTCATATTTTCACATTTACATTTTCATGACATATGCACAATTAATACAACATTTAAACACAAACATCTTTATAAACATTTATTTATATTTCAAACGTGGGACAGAGATTATGTTTGTGCCGGACAAGGCAGGACACAGCATTAGGACACAAAGTTGTACCGCATTTTGATTTGACTTTACAGTAGTTTGTGAGTGTCTCCCCTGGAGTAAAGTGACCAGTCGTCCCATTTTGAGCAGGATTGCAACAAACAAACACAATGAGCAGGAACTGATGAAAAAACAAAGACTGACTGTGCATCGGCTGCACAGCATCCAAAAAGAACAGAACACCCTGCAACCACATTGACTGCACAGATAACAGTGCCATAATAGATAGCACCACTATCACCAAAAACAAACAAACAAACAAACAAACAAAACAACAAAAAACAATCCAATTAGCTGTGCCGTTTTCTAATGTCATATTGATGGAAAACAAGTCCAGTACCAAACCCAAAGAACTACTTTTTTTATTACGCTGCACAGTGCCTGTCGGGATTGGCCTTATAATTTTGGTTTGCAGGTTCAACTCCCACCTGGCTGACTGTGGTGTACTGAGCAAGCACAAAATCCCCGTATGTGCTTCTAAAAGTGCCCACTGCTTCATGGGTGCGGCATGGGTTAATAAAAGACACAAAATTTGCTGTAAGTGTATATTGGTCTGTTTATGTTTAAGACTTGTTTTTCTTCTTGTTTTTTTAAGAGTTGTTCTTCACAGACCTTATCCAATAACACCAACTAACGCTGCACTTTTTTCGTGGGAGAGGGGTCGCTGGATTATGATCAAGTCACGATGAGTGACGTCACATAGTGTCCAAACAGACTTTGGAAATTCTCACTTATAGGAATAGCGAGCAACGCCTGTAGTTGTTGGACGACTACAAACGTCCAATTTATGTGCAGTATATACGTGGAAGTATAACACAAGTAGTCGCGGTTTAAAAGTTAAAATGAATCGGAAAGAATCGTTCAGGAGAGTTTTGACGCAGTTGTCAACAGAATTGTTGAGTATGTCCGAAGAAGAGGAACAGGACATAGTGACGATCCATTTTTCTGGATAAGAAGTTAGAAGAGTCTTTGACAGGATACAATTCGTTTTATATTTAAGTCACATTTCTTACGTGGAGTGATGATCTTTTCCTGGACACGGAAAAGTCCTCCGCTCTTTAAATCTCACGAAGCAACATGTCAAAATCCGGGAGGGCGAAGACAAAGTGGATCAGCAGGGTAACTGGCGGACCTGGAGGAGACTGTTAGTTGGCAGGACAAGGAAGAAACCCAGAGCAACGGAAGGACAAATGGACAGGAAAACGAGACCGAACCGAAACCAAGCTGCGCATCTCTGCGCATTTCTGCGCAATTTGTGCGCACATCAGGGAGGTTCTTATCCAGTCTTCTTTTCCTGGTGCAGTTGAGGAGCAAAGGTCTCCAGATGGAGGTTCAAAAACAAACACAATAAACTGCTGTCAACATGCTGTCACAGACACGAAACATATAAACCGAAATACAAAACACGTTTTTATTTCATAATTTCGAATGTACCTAACGTAATATGTTATTATACGTTATATTATATATGTTGTTTTTTAACTTATTTCTTAATTATTTTAGTGGACGTGTTTGCGATTTCAATATATTTAATTACTTTGTTTTGTAAAATGGCAGACGAAGGGGAATTTCCAGTGACGTCACAAACGGGCTTTTCCCTCTTGACTCAGTCACAAGCTTCCTTAAAAAACCTCATACTTTAGTCTCATATATACAGCAGACACAGGTCATTGTCTTTTAAACATTTACTAATAAATATAATGTTTTATTCTACTACACTCTGGTGTTGTGCATTCTTTTGAATAGCATAAATTGAAGGACATTTTGTTTGTCTCACTTCTAGCTAACTAAGCTAAACAGCTTCTCACTTGCTATGATGTTTGAAGTTGTACTAATTAGACTGTTCAATCTATGGCAAATATTGTTATTACGCTTTTGGCTAACTTCTAGCTTTTTTAAAATACCTTTTTAGCTTTCCAGAGTCTTTAGGTTATGTTTTACAGTTAATTTTGTTAACTAACTATAATTTAGGATTGCAGTTATATTTAAGTTAAGTTGGGCTTAAGTTTGTATTTTTATGGCTAATTAATGTACAATTTTGATCCAGCTATAGGCTATTTCTTTGGTATATTTTCTGCTAGGATTCAGATTGATCTATGTTAACTTTTAGTTTTAGGATTACTGTTTATATCAGGGTGTCCACACTTTTTTCCTATTGGGAGCTACTTTTCAAATGACCAGAGTAAACTGATCTATCTACATTGAAAACTCTAAATATATATTTACTAATATAAACTGAATATCTTATTATATACATTATATGTTGGGGTACTTTCATTAAATCGCTGGAGTTGTATGGCACAATACTGTCTGACTCAATACTTCTATGGTCCTTACTTTAGCCCTATTGATTAGTATCTTAAAGTATAATTCAATTTATAATTTTAATTATTATTTTTTAAAATGTAATTGCTCTTGATCTACCAGCACTCCCTTTGAGATCTACTGGTAGATCCAGATCTACTTATTGGGCACCCCTGGTTTATATTAAATATGTTCTTAGCTTTTGTTGGCTATCCTCAATTATTTTTATATTTTTAGTTATTGACATTTAAGGATTTATTTTCCTAATGCATTTTTCCATTTTATAACTATTTCCGCAATGCTTAGCACTGTACTAATTTTAAGCTAGCCTTGTTACGTATTTTGCAAATTTTGGCCAAACTTATGCTTACTCTGGGCTATCTCTCAGTAATTTTCACTCACACAGGGCCGTCGCAGTGGGGGTGCAAGGTCCAGGGGGGACTTGAAATGCGAGGCCCTGGTCTTTGACATGGGCAATTGCGCATGAATAACAGTCACATGAACACAGCTATTCTAGTTCTACTGCTTTTACAGCTAAATGCAATATGTTTTTATCAACTAGAGAATACAGCATAATCATGCACATGACAGTCTCAGCTATAACTTTTTACTATTTTTTTCAAAGGGCACAATCAACTGTGCAATGAGTGGCTTTCCATCAGGTCAACTCAGTCACTTCATTCTTGGCCTCTTGACATTTACAAAATGTAGGTGAGAACACTTTCATTCATTATGTACATTCATCTTGGTCATTTTCATTATGCAACTCACACTGAAAAAAAAAGTTTTTTCTCACCACTGTTGCCCATTGTGGTTTTTTTCTACTGGGATCTGTTTCTCTCTTTAAATAAAACTGAATTGAATATAACTCTGAGATGGTGAGAGGCTCTCACCATGCATAAATTGTGCTAAAACAGATAACGTCGGAGTCATTTCCCATGTCTTATCTAATATCTTTTTACTCTAGTTTGGATGCAATGTCCTTTTCAGTGGATAACATGTGACATGGAGGTGTGCAAAAGTTTTTAAGTAGTTTTAATTTGAAAAGCTTTGCTCGCCACCATTACTAGAATAAGATAAAACTATCCTGAGCCACAGTTATGGAAAGTTCATTCGATCCCTTCGAGGTAAATGTTTTTATTGTTGTTTCCTTTGGGATTATATCTCATAGTACCCTCAATTCCTGGAAGAGGTCTGGCACATTTAAATCTTGCGACTTGGACTTGCTCAGAGCATCACTCAGTCTGTGCACTGTCTTAATTTGTTAGATTTAGATTTTTTGTTAAAAAATGTTTGTATGTGACCTTGATACAGGCATGTCACTGATACAAAATCATAAATAACTATTATTAATACTAATTTATTGAAAAAACAAAACAGAAGGATTGCAGGCACGAGGTCCCCTACTGGTGCAAAGTCCCGGGGCAGCTGCACAGTTCGCACAGCCTATGTCTTTAAAGGGAAAAATCCTCAGATGTATTTAACCTTAATAAAAGTTTTGGTCCAAACAGCGTTTTGTCTGTGTTATGACGGAGGTTTACACAACGAACACCTGTTGTGCACATTGAAGACGGCAATCACTGAAATTGTCAGTAATTTTGCAGATGACTTCCCTGTAGTGGACAAATTAGAATATTTGTATTTGAAATTCCAAAATGGAAAGTATGCAATGTAAAATGTGTAAGACAGTTTGTCTAAATCAGTGGTTCTCAAACTCTGGTACATGTACCACAAGTGGTATGCAAGTGCTCTCTAGTGGTACGTGGGGAAAATTCATATTTTCACATTTACATTTTCATGACATATGCACAATTAATACAACATTTAAACACAAACATCTTTATAAACATTTATTTATATTTCAAACATGTTGATAATTCAATATTGAAAGTAATTAGCCAAATATGAACAAAATAAAAACTGGGCAAATAACTAAGAGTTAGCCGAATAATCACAAGTTACCAAAAAGTTAGCAATAAGATGCCTCTAAATTCTCAAACTGTGGTACGCATAGCACCAGTGGTACACAAGTGCTCTCTAGTGGTACGTGGGGAAAATTCATATTTTCACATTTACATTTTCAACTGAATAAATCTGGAATATACCATGCACAATTAATACAACATTTAAACATAAACATTTTTAAACACCTCTCCTGCGTGGTGGAAGCTAACAGTGAAGGCCTCTGCTGCTGTATTCTAGTGTTGGTCATCATGGTGGTACTCAGAGAGATCAAGGTTTTCTCAGGTGGTACAGAGTAGAAAAAGTTCCAGAACGACTAGTCTAAATAATAGGTATTTTATTGTAAATTATTGAATTGTTGATGTATCAAAAACAATGTTTAATAGAACTGTATGAAGTATATAAAGTTGTTGTATGTTTATTAATAAACAACTGTTATTGGAAGCCCTCAATAAATGGCATCAGCAGTAGTCCAATGGTAGTGGGAATTACTAAGAATAGAAAAGCTGGAGGAAACCACAAACAATTAAATGACAAAAATATATGACCAATTATCCCAGGGAAATAATGATAATAATAATTTTAACTTACATATTTGGGAAATTCTTGTGTTAACAGCAGCTGTAACAGGCTGCCCCTGGCACGCGACAAGTATGTGGTTCCTCTAGGAATCGAACCCAGGGAGGTGTGCTAACTGCTACACTATGGAACCAAATATATACATATAAAAAGAATTACAATAACTATATAGTAAATGGTGGCGCTTTGGCCCAGAGGCCATGTCTCTGTCATTGGTGTGGAACCCCAGGGTTCACCTCCTGGGCAAGATCAAATCCTGGTTAGGGCGGTTGGTACCTTCCAGTGGACTGACCACCTGCAGGAAGGTTTAGGGGGGGTGGTACGGTGCAGTGTGATTTGGGTGGAGACTACTGCCCCGCGACCCGGTAACGGATAAGCAGATGAAAATGGATGGATATACTAAATACAAATATTGTTTAGCTGATAAAAATTACCTAAACCTGTGGTAGGTGTTAAGTACACCATGACAACAGGTAAAAGTTAAAGATAAAAGCTTAATATAAAAAAAAAGTTTAAGAGCTGCAACAATTAACAATACGACCCTGTATATTAAACAGGACAAGAGAATTGTTCTTTAAGAAAATGATAGACTTTGATCATTCTTCAAATGTAGACATGTTTATTTAGAAGTAAAAACCTCATGATCTGTGCCACATGGATAAAGTAGAAAAGCAGAGCAGAAAAGCAAAGCTAAGCAAAGCAGAACAATGTGTCTAAAGCGGAAGTAAAAGAAAAAAAAAAGGATAGCTCTGTTTCACTTCTGCTTTCATCTGCTTTTACAAGAAGCAGCTACTCTTACAGCTGCTGTTGTTCATGTGGATACACAGACACAGAAGGGTTTCTTAAACACCCCAGCAGATTTAACACTTGATCAACATGTGTAAATAATGACGAGGAAGAGTTATTTCCCCAAAGGTGAGGCTTTCTTTTTTGTTTGTATCTTTATTTAACACCTATTTTTGACAGGAAATTCTACAGCATGTTTTTTTTAACCTGAAAGTCTTTTGTTAATTTAATAGATGGTGTACAGGTGAGACTTTATGTTATTGTATATTTACATTTTTTAAAAATATTTTTCTAGAAAAATGGTTAATAACTTGTCTTCCTGTTAATTATTTAACAAAAATATCTTACATGGACCACAACCACTGTTAAAACTAAGAACACATCTTCAACTATTTTATGTGTATGCCTTATACTAATGTCTATTATTTGTATTATACATTTAACCTAAAATAAAAAAGGTATGCCTTTTATAATGGCATAACTGCCATGATAGGTAATAGCTCCATTCCTCAACACTGGGCTCTTGAGTTCTGCTACTGCTGTTAAAAACACAAAGTAGTGCAATAACAGTTAGCCTAGAAAAAGCTAGTGAAGATAGTAAAAAAGATAGATACACACACACACACACATATATATATATATATACATGGGGCAAAGAACATATGGCAAATTAGCTTAACATCTGTATAAAATGAGGAAATCTCAACCAAAAAAAAAAAAAAAACCCAAACAAAAAAAGCTAAATACTAACCATGAAAACATGTTTTAATGAACCTAAAATGCAATAAAACCAAGTTACTTGAAAATGCATCTATCTATTATGCATTCTAAAATACATGAATACAAGAAACAATGGTAAAACTTTATGACCAAGATGATAAACACAGTAAAATAAGAAGGTAACACACAAATCTGTTTCAAAAAGGATGAAGGGTAATTGGAGAAATAGAGAAACTTAATGAATAAATGAATTATGCTTCCACATTAAAATAACTTATAAAATATAAATCATTTTGGCCTCGCCCTGGTTCCATTCTTCATAACTAGACTGAGGCAATTCTGTGGTTTCCTGTTTGTCTGTAGACGCAAAGGTTTCATGAGAAAAAAGTAGAGTAGTTTGTGATTTTGTGGTTTAAGATTTTGTGACTTATGCAGCTTTATTCATATATTTATTTCTGTTTTCTACATATAAAGTTATTGACATAATTGTAATGGCTGAACAGAATTGCTCACTGCACCAGAGGACTACCCCTCGCAGCCTAATACTGAGAAATAACCAAGTGATACGTCTGACAAAAATGACCTTTTACATTTACTCTAAGCTAGTGTAAGTGTTGAGCGCTGAGCAAACAAACGTTAATGTGACAAATGAATGTCGATTGTGCACTAGTGTCAGACGGAACCTGTTCATTTTAGGTCATTCAAACCTTGTAACCTTTGCATTAACAATTTGTACTTTTTTAATTGCATTTGGTTGTGTGCATGTATCTGTATATGAACAATGACAATAAACTGACTATAATTAACAGTCTCAACTTGGAGACAAATAGATCATCCATAAATTATTCTACCGGGATTCATCTAATGGTTTAATTCTCTCTGGTTTGTTCCTGAAGAATAATCCTGTCCATTCCGTATGGCTCAGTTAGGCTGCTCTCAGCCCATGCTAATTGAAGAATCCAGTCTCTCTGGATGGAAGGTGATTGATTCTGGAGGGTTTGGACAAATCTACAAGGCCAGACATCTTCACTGGTGCTATGATGTGGCCATTAAGCTGCTACACTATGATGACGGGTGAGTGAAGAATGTCTACGACGGGGCCATGTCAGACCATGAAGAAAGATGGGTCGGAATAAAATTTGGACTAAAATAAATGGATGTATTGGGAAAAAAAAGTTTTTGGTACACCAACACACATTGCAAAAGTGACATATTTGGAGTCAGGAGTTCCATTTCTGCTTTCAGAGAAAGTGAAGTGTTAACACACCGGGGGCATGTTATGGGTTAGTGTTGTGCGTAAATATGTCGCGGAAGGTGGGGTGGGGGGGAGGGGGGGAGCAGATAGATGGTGCGTTCGTGTTAACTGAGATAAATTACATATAAAAGTCATGCATAAAGGCTACAATGCTAAAAAAATTAATCATTTTCTACACCATCTATTGGGCATATGTGGGTATTGCAGGGAAATGCCAGAAGTATAATGAAAATATAAATAAATTACATAATTTGGAAAAGTATGATGGGCCGGATTAAAAAGCTGAACGGGCCGCATCTGGCCCCCGGGCCTTAGTTTGCCCATGCCTGGTCTAGGCTATGTGGAGCGTCCATTTCTCCTAAATGACCACAGACCGGGCCACTGTGAGGTGGTCTCTGGGCACCATGTGGTCCATGGGTCAGATTTGGATAGGTTGGCTCTACAATATCTGTAAGTAATTAATAGAGTAACTTCAGATGGCACTGTCACACACACAGGAGGAGTTCACTTTTGATGCGTGAAGCAAAGATGATGTGTCAAGGAAGCAACGAGTATGTCATGCAGGTCCTGGGGGTCTTTAAAGGCAGGGTCCCAAACTCTGTACCTTCAAGGCAGCTGGGTTTGGTCATGAAGTTCATGGAGCAAGGATCTCTGACCACCCTGCAGGTAAGTACATGAACTATCTTTTTCTTCTTACTCTAAGTGTAATGTTATTGCATCACAGCAGTTGTAAAAATGTTTTTGTTTTTTTTACTTTAACAGGTTAATCTATGTGGACCTCCACCGTTGCCCCTTGTCTTCAGACTGGCTCATCAGGTGGCTGTGGGCATAAACTTTCTCCACCAGCTGTCCCCCCCTCTGCTCCACCTGGACCTGAAGCCCAGCAACGTGCTGCTGGACCCTGATCTCAATGTCAAAGTAAAAAATATACAAGGAGTGTCAAAGCTGATCAAATGCAGCAGTGGTGATATTTAACATTCCAATGTTGTTGTTTTTTTTCTTTCTTTCAGCTCACAGATTTTGGTCTTTCCAGATTGTACCACAGCGTCACACAAGGTTCTAGAAAGAAAAACAAAGATGAAGGAGGAACCATCAGCTACATGCCACCAGAGGCGTTTGATATTTCATACAAACCCAAGACAGCCTCTGATATCTACAGGTAGGGAAGCTACTGAGGCAGAGTCCACAGTGATGGTCAGACGTGATTTGTTAATAAAGAGCTTATTTAGAAAATTACAAAAACAAAAAACACAACTCGTTCATTTTTTGGACAGTAGTGTTGTTTTTTCAAACCAGTCCTTTCCACTTACTGTAAAAAGAGACCTGACATGAAAATGCAACTGCAACGTAATAATTGTTTTTTGCTCATAAAACATGACATTTTATTTTTCTCCCCAAAGAAAGCTAAAGCACAAAACCATCAGACCAGTGAGTGAAAAGAAAAATACATGCAGGTTCAAACTTCCCTACATTTAAAATCTCAGGAGAATTCTTGACACACTGAGCTAAATGTGCTTTACTTGACAAACACAGTATTTCCAGTAATTGTATGAGCTATGGTTTCAGTTAAAAAAAAAAACATAACCAAAGAACTATCACTTGGAAATGAACCTCTGCTGATGAGAAGTGTTGACCTTCATGTTCTCTCTTACAGCTATGGGATTTTATTGTGGTCCATAGTAACTGGAAAACAACCTTATGAAAGTAAGTGAAAATCAGGTCCTTCAAATACTGATCAGGGATTCTGAGTACATTCACCCACTAAATCTATTCTACTGGCTTATAAATAATATTATTTGAAAATTGTTGGTTGGTACACTTCATTTCCTGAGAAAAATCTGAACCTGTTTCTTATAATGCTGTAGCACCACATTACAGCTACTAGACATGTCCATATTCAGCAAACTTCACAGAATTCTTATGTTGAATGAAAAAACAAACAAACCCTAAATCAGCCTAAAAATCACACAAGTTCATTAGTTTGTGATATTTACTAATAACAGGGGCCGTGTTACCTCAGTTACCACTGAGGTGCTGTCCCCACACACTGCTCCCTGGGCAGAGGTCACATTTCGTTGTGCTGTACCGTGTTACAATCACAATAATAATGACAAAATAACAAGACTTGTCCTTGGCTGAATCCTACAAGGTCTGGCTCCTCTGGCCCATATTGACGGCAACCAACAGAAGCAGCTCAAAGACTTTGTAAATGACCACGAGAGGACTTTAAAGTTAGAAAAAAAAAAAAAAGATTAAAGATTAAAGGTCAAGTTAGGGGTTAGACATCTTGTAGTGCAGTGTGTTTTAAATAGAGAATATGTATACTTCATTCCCATCTTTAGATGCAATGTCTGAGATGGTGCGACTAAGGATTCCCCAGGGAGATCGTCCTTCACTGGAGGACTACACGAGTAAGGCTGAAGGGTGTGAAGACTTGATGAAACTTATGGATCTCATGGTTAAATGCTGGAAGGGAAAACATGACCAAAGACCCACCTCTTTTGGTAAATATAATTTTATGATAATGTCTGGCTAGTGCTTTATTTTCTTGGTTCACTGTAGGAAACTTACAACCTATTTAATAAAAACAATCTTCTCATTTGCGGGGAACTATACAACAAATGTTATCATAACATTTGCAGCAATGTTTACTTTTTTTGCTTTGTGCTAAGGCTAACAGTATCTTGTAGTAACTTGTAGTCATGCATTTGTCTTCCACCTCAATTCACAATTAACTTCTTGCTAGACGTTACTATTGTACCATGATAAGGTACTAGGTACTAGCTACCTGACTTAAGCTATGCTAAGCTGTATGTCGTTGGACAGACTGTGCTACCTTTACAGAAGCACTATTTCAGACACACAAGGATGCAGTCGTTGATGCTGTCCATCAAGTGCTGAAGATGCTGGTAAGTTCCAGAAACACTAAGAGTCAGGATTTCATGATTCAGCAAATTGCTGCTGATACGCCTCATGTATGCTTTCTCTTCCCTTTTTTTATGTCTTTTATAGAATAAACAGGAAGAAGAGAAAATAATAGAGCAAGTTCAGAGGGTCCATATCAATCAGGTGTCAGGTCTGTGTTGACTTTAAATCTTTTTTTTTTTTAAACGTGTGCTAACACTATTCTTATGACAGTTTTTTTCTCATTAAGCATCGCAACATTAAGGCCTTATCACAATTTTAAGTTATGTTTTGAGGAAAAAAAATCCCACTGCCGTTTAGATTATAGTCAGCAACACCAAAATATTTTTTCTTGTTTCTTTTTGAAGCACAACCAAATCCAAAAGACATGTGTGAGGACGTGCTGACTGGACGCCCCCCTGTTCAGGTAGCACACAAAGAGCTTTTACCCTTTTAGTTGTTTTGTCCATTTGAAGCCATTAAAGCACAGTGTGTGTTTTCTTCACACATTAGTCAATACTGTAATATTTCTACACTGCCTGTGTTTTTGCTGTCTCAGGAAAGCACTGCAAGGCCAACTTCCTGTTGAAAACAAGGGGATTTTCTCAGACAGACAGACAGACAGACAGATAGATAGACAGACAGACAGACAGATAGA